CTATGCTTCTTTATGCTTACTTCACGACATGTATCGAAGTAACTTGAAAAAACTAATCATAAAACTTATGTTTCTTTTTCCGTATACTTTATTGGTTGTTAATTCGATTCTGTGCTAATCTTTCTTCTTCTTCTACATGAAAGCACTTTCAACAGTAAGGAGGCGAAACTCATGAATAGAAAAAACTGACTAATATTCAGTCTATCGATATATGAAACCCATGATTACTGATAACATATAATTCTGTCTTCAAACTTTTTGTCATTGTAGAAAAAACACAATGGAGGGTTCATCTTCGATTGAGAGCTGCGGTACTCGGGAAAGTCCATTGACGGTCAATTATATTTTTAAAATTGTCTTAATAGGTGATTCTGGTGTTGGTAAATCGAGTTTAATATCGCGTTTTGTGCAAAATGAATTTTCATTTGAAAGTCGATCAACTATTGGTGTTGAGTTTTTAACAAAACAAGTACAAATTGATGATAAAATAATTAAAGTACAAATATGGGATACGGGTGAGATTGTTTATCAATACATATTTCTTATTTATATTTCTTTGCTTTGTGTAGCTGGTCAAGAACGATTCAAAGCAATTACAAAGCCTTATTATCGTTATGCATTAGGTGCTCTACTCGTATATGACATAATGAGAGTATCAACATTTCAACATCTTGACGAATGGTTAAATATTTTTTTTCTTTCTGTTGCATCAAACTATAATTTTTCTTTAAAAAGGTACAACGAATTGACATCCAATGCCGATAATGACTGTTGTATTATACTGGTAGGAAATAAAGTCGATCAACAACATATTCGAGTTGTTTCATCAAACGATGCAAAAAAATTTGCTGATCAAAGAAATATGCAGTAAGTTCGATACTTTTTCTCTTGCCAGAATCAATATGTAAAATATTCTTTTAAAAAAGGTATATTGAAACGTCAGCTTTGGATTCTACGAATGTGGAACAGGTTTTCCAAAATCTTATTCTTGATATTTGTCAAAATAGGACACCTCCATCCTATACATTACGACGACCCGACCCACAACCTCCACAGCGATGTTGTTTCTCATGAGCTTTTATGTATGGTTATGTTCTTTATTGTTTTTTAATTGCCAAAATGAAAAGTATAAGAAAACATTTGAATGCATGTTCTAACTTCGGACGGCTGTTGTATAGTTACATCTCGAAAAAAAATGACGCTCGTAGAGATTGTATAACTTATAGTGCGGATGTTGATGAAGAGGGGATCCTCATCGACACCACTAACTTCTCAGACATTGCAGGTAAAAGACAAGAACACTGAGCTCTCAATAGAGACAAAACTTGAAACGATCCCGATAGATTTAAATGGCCACAGCAGCTAAGCAATAATTCTTGTTGTTACAATTTTCTAATACTAACGATAGAGAACAGACAATGTCGATTTCGTCCTTTCTCTCTCTCTCTCATCAGTCGTTACCTAATCCTATGAATGATTCAATAGTGGTGATATTGATGATAAATTGAAGTTTTATATCGTTTTTATTGTTTATGTTTGTGTGAATTATTATTTTCGTAAAATGTATTCGGTATTAGTTTTAACACTTTTCTCTTTTTTTTCATAAAAAATCAACAATGCCGTCTGAATTGTTAAAATTTGCTAATAATATCACGACTTATCTTAATGATTTACCAACGAGTTGTGAAAATCAGTTTTTTGTTATGATAATTACGTTGAATCTCTATATTGTCATCAATTTCTTGAACAAATCTGATAATTGTGAGTTTACGACGGGTTTTTTGAACGTCATCAAAATGCCAATGATTTTCATGATATAAGATGTGCTACTGTGTATCAATACATACTCAACCATGTTTAATGTTACATTCCTTTTAAAACCGATATCTTGATTAGCGAGGGAAAGCTGAATTTACTTGCATTTATTTTGCATAAATTTATCTATATTAACGTAATCAATTTATTTTAATGCATTTACAAATTATTAGCATAAATAATATCTTTCACTTCATTGAATAAATGATTTCACTAAAAGGAATACATAAGTAGTTGTTCATATTTGCCGATAGTTAGCAGGTTCAAATCCAAACTTCGATCGACTATTTTGTATACTACTAAAAGAGAGAATAATCATCAGTCGAAGAACAAATGAGAAGTAATACAATAAATGAGAGCAACGGAAAAAGAACACTAATGAAGGTAAAGAAAAAAATTAAAACGAGAAAATATCGAGCAGAAAGAAAGATCAGCAATGGCAAAGATGAACTGAAGTTCATATGATAATGATGAATTTGAAACTTCCGTTTATAGACTATATGATTAGGTTCTATTCAAATGAATTCTCTCGCTAGTGCTAGTCTTTTGTCTAAATCATGTCGATTAATCATTTTTGCTACAAATCAACAGTGGATAGCTTCGAACATCGAGACATAAAAATAATGGATATCTTCAGGTTAGAAAGATTTAATATTGAATAAAAGATTATTTATCGACTGAAGGGTTTTCTAAATATTAAGAGTATCGAATTCTCATTCGACTTCGATGTGTGTTCCAAGAAAAACATCAAATTCATATCAAGGAGGCACGTATACAGAACTTTTCTGAATGCAATTTTTTTTGCAGTCTTCCCTACGAGAATCCTTTCTTGAAAGTGACTTAAAATTCAAATGAAAACAAAAATGTAGAAAATGACACTGAGAACTATTGTCCATTTAAAAAAAAAAGGCGGATAGATATTTCTTAAATAACTTTTAATAGAAACAAGATAAAGAACTGCAGTTTTCATCGTTGGAAAGTGGGGATGTAGGCACATCGAAAGGTATATAATAGACTTCTCTAAGATGTTCTTTTTTTTTTTTATTATAGTTTTCTTAATTAATTTTCTGAAAAAATGCCGAAAAATTGGTTGTTCTTATCATAATAAAAGCGGGAAAAAGTAATTTTTTTTTCACAGAAATTAATAAAAAAAATCGGCTAAGAGTTTTGAATAAAATGACTATAATTCCTAAATGAATAAATCTAAAAGTCTAGGCCTTGTGCAGTTTTGTAGATTTTCATTTAGCGATTCGAATACGCACCTGATTATTGAAAATAAGCATTAGTCGCCTTACGGAGTATGTTGGTTTTCAAAAACATCAATTTAAGGGTATGGGTGTGTGCCTTTTTCACTCATGCCCATATCCGCGTAACCACACCCACGTCCAATAGTGCTTAAGAATGCTACCAAGTGTAAATAGGCGAAACTTTTATTTGATTAATTCAACAAATAAGCATTAAAAATAACACAAACACAAGCATATTGAAAGCAAATTGTCTTTAAAATTCCAATAATGTCCACTTTTATTGAGACAAATGGATTATGATGACTTCATTATTATTACTATAATAAACTAATTTGCATAGAACGTTATTACAGATCATAATTGGAACATTATTAATGGTTTTATTTCAAAGCTATCATTGTCAATCTAAATGTGTATTGATGACACTGTAACGCGCTGTTGAACTATGGTTTCCTCTAATTCATGTATTTTTCCTTGAAAATCTTTGACAATATATTTTTTAGCTTCTTGTCTTAACCATAATTTATTTGAATGACGTCGTATTACTTTTCTTACAATTATAACAGTTAGTATCAATCCAACAAATATTCCAATAACAGCAAATATCAGTATCATGACTATCAGTATAACGCCACCGGCTTTACCACAATCATTACTTCCATTGCAATCATTACAATTGACAAATAGACAACTATACGGATAACAAGCACAAGCAGGACAAGAATCACCATTATTAGCATTATCTTGTATCCATCCACAACAACCACCAATTAAACCAAACAAACCTAAGAAAGCCAAGAATAATATTAAACTGCTCAAGTAATAAACACCAAATGAACTCATAGACTGTGGAAATAAATTTTTAATAGTCTGATTTTTTTTATCTGCTAACTGTAACAAAAATGTCATGCCGACAATGATTAATTGAATTAATAAAATGATCAATGTTAGATCGCGAGTAATTGATAAGCGAAACAGTAGTAATCTTTTTTTATCGATTATAGGATCATCTACGACCGATTCAATAACATACTCGAATTGACAGA